AATACGCAGCGAGTCATTCTGCATATTCAACCAAGTATCCACTGGCCTCAATAAACCGGATCGGAGTTCCTTTTACGATGTGCAAATAAAGCAACACCTGTTTCCGCATTCAGGTTTTGATCTTCAATGTTTGTGTAGTTGTTTAACAGATGGCGCAAGCTCCGATAAAATAAGCATTCCAGTGAAAAGTTGTGCAGTGAATTTGCTTGAGTTACAAATTCCCATATATACCAATAAATGAGATGTACGCCTGTTCAAGTGCAACAATAAGCAGACGATTACCGGTTGGTTACAGACGGTTCCTTTACAACCGTAACAACGGATTGGTGATCAGAGATCTTCGCGATATACTTTCATTTTGGGGTACGTAACAGAAAAGTACTGTTTCCTCCTATGACAGGTGTCACAATTATAATCTTTCAATCGGAAGAAGAGGGCTGAAAAGCGAGGGCAAAATGACTTGCCGTATTTCGAAAAAGAATCGCCATACAGGCAATCTCTCGTGTCAACGAGTAATCAAGAGTTATTTTTGGGATACACAAGAATACAACATTAAAATGGCAACCAAACCGGAAAAATAAGGAATTACGAAATTTTGCGCCTATGCCGGACAGATGGCTGCGTTGTGAATGACACGCGAAATGAAAATATCGACAGAAGTGCCATCGAACATCGAGGTACAAATGCAATAAGTAGGCGAGCACAACTTACGTGATGAGCCTGACAGTGTCGACGAAAGTGTGCACCCGTAAATACAGTATCACAGAAGGCTGTCCGGTCATGTCGGTACCCTATAAGCGAACGAAGTGCAGTAGTAAGAAGCAGACGATTTCGACGAACGAGCAAGCCAACGACAAAGCCAGCCAGCCAGCCAGCTCGGTCGGTTGGTCGGAGCAACAAGCGCCTCAAGGCTCGCCGTTCGGAAGACTTACCCAACCGCCGGACTTGGACCAGTTTTTCGGGGTACACTTGGACAGTTTCGAAACGGGGTCTAGAAAGCGGTATTCGTTCTGTACAAACAACGACAGGCCGAACATGCGGGCGTCGGCGATGCCGGCATGGTTGCAGACGCAGTGGAAGATGTC